CAGTTGTTGAAAAGTAGAGAGAAAAAAAAGGAGAAATAGACTATAAGATATGATTCGAGATGAGATGTAATAGTTACAACTCTGTCTGAAAACGTTCTAGCATCTGTTCTCTTTAGCTTCTATATGTTTTCGTTATTCCATAAGTTGTGTCCCATCTCCTTCATCTTTAATGCTGCTTCTTCCCATTTTTTCGAACATCTTGTCCTCTCTCTGGCTATCTCGATTCATCTCAATGTTTTAAATCTGCTTTTTCTTCTTTTCATTTGAACGAAAACTTTGAGAGCATAGAGTGCCTCCTACATACTTTACACTTTAAAACCATCTTCTCCGATGCCAATATCATAGCATTTATTCCAGATTCAACGACCAGTTGAGCTCGCGTCTATCATGTCTGACGAAGAAGAAGTATAGTAAGTGATTATAACATAGTATTCAACAGTGCTTTTTTTTTAGTTCTGATGAGGAAATCATCGAGGAAGAAGAAGTCGAGGAATCGGAAGCCGCTGAAGCTGAGAAGTAGTGGTTTCAGAATGATCGAACTATATTATGGTGTTTCAGTGATGACGAAAATGAAGTTGAAGCTGAGGAAGAAGTTGCTCCAGTAGAAAAGTGAGAATGAAAAGTTCACTTATAAATTACCTTTACTATCTCAGAAAAACTCGTCCACCACCTGTCCAAGAGGAGAAACCTCCAGCAGAGTTGACTGAAGCCGAGGCTGCTATGTTGGCTGCCAAGAAGCGTCATGAAGAAGAACAGGCTGCTAAGCTTCTTGATTATGAGCAGAGAAGAGTTCTCGAAAAGGAGAAGATTGAAGATGAACTTCGTGAATTGAAAGAGAAACAAGAGCGTAGAAGGTTTGGCTGATACGACTATGATCATATAAAACCCAAGCTGTTAAGAGCCGAGAGAGAAGCTGAAGAAAGAGAATTCGCTGAGAGAAGACGTCAAGATGAGGAAAGAAGACGCAAAGAGGAAGTGTGTTATAAAAGAATTACGACATGACTCTTTTTTGTTCAGGAAGACAGAAAAGCTAAAGTTGAAGCTGAGAAGAGTCGTAAGAATGAAGAGAGGCTTCGTCGTCAGAACCTCATGGCTGGTTCTTTCAATGCTGCTCCTTCTGGAGCTGAAGGTGCCAGAAACTTTGTTGTAAACAAGAGCGATCAAGCTCATGAGTTTGCCAACTTGGGACAAGTGAGTTATACACCTCATTATCAGAAAGGAATCGTACAATATTCAGAAAACAAAATCAAGCAAGGTTGGTCCATCATCCGAACAACTTGCTGAGATGAAGCGTGCTTTCTTGGCTGCTCTTTGTCGTCCAGTTGACATTTCTGGAGCTCTTCCTAATGATTTGAAAGAAAAAATCAAAACACTTCATGCTCGCATTGTCAGACTAGAAGCTGAGAAGTATGACTTGGAGAAACGATCTGAACGTCAAGAATATGACGTGAGATACTGTCTTCCCCCATCTGTTAACTCATAATATGATTTATAGAGAAAAGAACTCGGAGAACGCCAGAAACAAGCTGCTCGTAATAAGGCTCTCGCTAAGGGATTGGATGCTGAAGCAGCCACCGAATCGGTGCATCCTCCAAAGATCACTGTTGCGTCCAAGTTCGATCGTCAGATTGACAGAAGATCTTACACTGACAAGAAAACACTCTTCAACAGCCCTGTTGTCCAAAAGCAATTTGCATTGGCCCGTGGAACCGCCCGTCCACCTCCAGAGTGGGGACGCAAAGATAACGAAGAGCTCGAGCAGATCCGGTGAGAAAAATGTTAACATGCCCTATTCACCAATTATACTTATAGTAAGAACCTTGAACCTCCAAAATATGTAGAGCAAGTCAGAGCAGAAGGAGATGTTGCCAGACCACCAGTCGAGCCAATACCTCTTCAGATCCCTCAACATGAATTTGAAGATGTTATCTCAGAAGCACCCGTAGAGTCTGCCGTCGAAGTAAGTCTTAATTTGTTAAAGCTGATCAACATACTCAATTTTCAGCCAGAAGCTGTTGAAGCTTAAATAGTAGATGCAGCCTTATGCACAACCAATTGGCTTTACTCATTCTTACTTTATACTTTATTTTTAGCAATAAAA